TTGTTCAAATTTTTCAGTTTTCGATTTGCATTTTTTTTCATTTTTTCGAAAAAAAAAAATGGAAAAATCGCAATATTGTAAAATTGAAAAAACGAAAAATTGAAAAATCGAACGTTGAAAACCGGAAGAAAATTGAAAAATCCAAAAATAGAAAAATTTCACACCGAAAAAAGAATAATGATAAAATTAGAACACTGAAAAACCGAAAAGTTGAAAAAATAAAGACGTTAAAAAACCGAAACAAAAAATTGGAAAATTTTTGACTTGATTTTTTCAATTTTTCATTTTTTTATTTTTTTGTTTCTTCAGTTTGAATTTTCAAAACTTTTCAATTTTCCAATCAGACCAATTTTTTTTGTTTTTTCGTTTCCATCTTAAAATTTTTTGGATTTTTCAATTTTTCCGCTTTGGGATTTTCAATTTTTTTAATTTCTTAATTTGTTCAGATTTTCGGTTTTTCAGTGTACTGATTCGTAATTTTTCTACTTTTCATTTTAAATATGTAATGATAATTTTTTAAATTTACCACTTTTTCAATTGTACGTTTTCAGAATTTCTCTATTTTTCAATAATTCATTTATTCGATTTTTGATTTACAATTTCTCGTTTCGATTTTTCATTTTCTGTATTTTATATATTTTTGCACATTTTTTTGTTTTTCCATTTTCAAAATTTAAAATTTTTCGATTTGCAATTTTTCAATTTTTTTTCTTCAATTTTACGAAACGCGACTTTTCGAGTTTCCATTTTAAAATTTTTTCACTTCTTCGATTTTCAGTGTTTCGGTGTTTCGACTTTTCGAATAAAAAATTGGAAAAACCGCAAAACTGTAAAATTGAAAAATCAAAAATGAAAAAGGGAAAAAGTGTAAAACGAAAACTTTAAAAAATCTAAAAATTGGAATCAAAAACTTGAAAAATTGAAGAAAGGAAAAATGAAAAATTGAGAAACTTAAAAATCGAAAAAACGAAATATTAAAAAATTGAAAAACCGACGAAATGAAAAATCAAAGATTGAAAATTTGAAAAGTTAAATAAACGAAAAATTCCGATATAAAATCGAGAAAATGAAAAAAATCGGGAAAATGAAAACTTATAATTTCGAAATATTGCAAAATTGAAAAATTTGGAAGGTCGAGAAATTGTTATTTATTCAATTTTTCATTTCGTTTTTTTATTTTTTTTATTTCTTCAAATTTTCCGTTTTTCAATGTACTGATTAAATTTATTTTTCAATATGTTTCAATTTTACAATTTTTGGATTTTTCAATTTCACGTTTTCAAAATTTTTCCGTTTTTCAATTGTTGTATTAAATTTATTCGATTTTCTATTTTCAATTTTTCGATTCTTGATTTTGAATTTTTTCGAATTTTTGATTTGCAATTTCTCGTTTCGATTTTTCATTTTTTTTTTGTTTTTACATTTTTTTCCTTTAATTTCACGACTTGCGACTTTTCGAGTTTTCGCTTTTTGATTTCTCAGTTTTTGGATTTTTCAATTTTTTTTCTTCAATTTTTGATTTACACTGTTTTTTTGTTTTCATTTTAAATATGTAGTTTTTCAATTTTGCTATTTTCCATTTTTCAATTATTGGACTATATATAACATTTTTTCACTTACTTGATTTTCCAATTTTTGGATTTTTCAATTTTAATAATAATTTTTAAAATTTTACAATTTTTAAATTTCACGTTTCCAGAAATTCTCCGTTTTTCAATTATTGGATTCATTTATTCGATTTCCCATTTTCAATTTTGCATTCTTAAATTTTTTAGTTTTTTCATTTTAAATTTTCGAATTTTTCGATTTTCCAACTTTTTAATATTTCAACTTATTTTTCATTTTTTCACTTTTAGATTTTTCAGTTTTTGGATTTTTGAATTTTTCGTTTCTTCGATTTTTGATTTGTAATTTTTTCTAGTTTTCATTTTAAATATGTAGTGTTTCAATTTTTTTCACTGACTCGATTTTTCAATTTTTGGATTTTAAATTTTCAGTTTTTCGATCTTCCAGTGTTACAGTTTTCGACATTATTTTTACGTTTCTCAATTTTTAGTTTTTCGATGTTTCAATTTTTCGTTTCTTCAGTTCTTCGATTTGCAATTTTTTTTCAGTTTTTCGATTTATCAACTTTTCGGATCAAAAAATGGAAAAATTGCAATATTGTGAAATTGAAAAAGCTAAAAATTGGAAATCGAGAACTTGAAAAACTGAAAAATCCAAAAATTCAAAAAATAAAAACTATAAAAAGCCGAAACGAAACATTGCAATCGAACAATTGAAACATCCATAAATTGGAAAATTTTTGACTTGACTTTTTTCAATTTTCAATTTTTTTTTCTTCAATTTTTGAATTTTCAAAACTTTGCAATTTTCCAATTAGACCGATTTTTTTGTTTTTCCAATTTCAATTTTTTTTTTCACGATATGTAACTGGGAAATGAAAAATTTAAGAAACAAAAAATTGAAACATCCATAAGTTGGAAAATTTTTGACTTGAGTTTCTAAATTTTTCATTTTTTTTTGTTTCTTCAGTTTTTCGATTTTCAAAAGTTTTGAATTTTACATTTTTTTGATTTTGATGTGTGATTTTTTATTTTTTCAATTTCTCATTTACTTAGTTTTTCGATTCTTTATTTTTTCATTTATTGAAATTTTCGATTTTTCCATGTTCCGAATATTTTTTTTTAATTTTTCCTTGCTTGAATATTTCGACTGATTAAAAATTTTTTTTTCAGTGTAGTTTTCTAATTTTTGGTTTGCAATTTTTCAAGTTTTCATTTTAAATATGTAATTATGATTTTTAAAATTTCACACTTATTTTCAACTTTTTTTCTTCAATTTTTTCGAAATGCGACTTTTAGAGTTTCCATTTTTACATTTTTCAGTTTTTCCGTTTTTGGATTTTTCAATGTTTCGTTTCTTGAATTTTCGATTTGCAATTTTTTCTAGTTTTCGTTTTAAATATGTAAAGTATTTCAATTTTACTATTTTAGGATTTTTCCATTTTTCAATTATTGGATTTTAAAATTTTTTCACTTCTTCGATTTTTCAGTGTTTTCGAATAAAAAATTGCGAAAAGTGTAAATCGAAAAGTTTAAAAAATCTAAAAATTGGAATCAAGAACTTGAAAAATTGAAGAAAGGAAAAATTTAAAAATTGGAAAACAGACGAACTGAAAAATCAAAGATTGAAAATTTGAAAAGTTGAATAAACGAAAAATTGCGATATAAAATCGAGAAAATGAAAAATTATAATTTCGAAATATTGCAAAATTGAAAAATTTGGAAGATCGTGAAATTGTTATTTATTCAATTTTTCATTTCGGTTTTTTATTTTTTTAATTCGTTCAAATTTTTCAGTTTTCGATTTGCATTTTTTTTTTCATTTTTTCGAATAAAAAAAATGGAAAAACTAAAAATTGGAAATCAAGAACTTGAAAAAACGAAAAATTGAAAAATCTAAAAGTTGAAAAATCGAAAGTTGAAAACCGGCAGAAAATTGAAAAATCCAAAAATGGAAAAATTTCACACCGAAAAAATTAGGACACTGAAAAAATTGGAAAATTTTTGACTTGATTTTTTCAATTTTTCATTTTTTTTATTTTTTTGTTTCTTCAGCGTTTGAATTTTCAAAACTTTTCAATTTTCCAATCAGACCAATTTTTTTTGTTTTTTCGTTTCCATTTTTAAATTTTTTTGGATTTTTCAATTTTCCCACTTTTGGATTTTCAATTTTTTTAATTTCTTAATTTGTTCAGATTTTCGGTTTTTCAGTGTACTGATTCGTAATTTCTCTACTTTTCATTTTAAATATGTAATGATAATTTTTAAAATTTACCACTTTTTCAATTTTCAGAATTTCTCTATTTTTCAATAATTCATTTATTCGATTTTTGAATTACAATTTCTCGTTTCGATTTTTCATTTTCTGTATTTTTATATTTTTTCACATTTTTTTGTTTTTCCATTTTCAAAATTTAAAATTTTTCTATTTGCAATTTTTCAATTTTTTTTCTTCAATTTTACGAAACGCGACTGTTCGAGTTTCCATTTTAAAATTTTTCTGTTTTTCGTTTTTTCAATTTCACTATTTTAGAATTTTTCTATTTTTCAATTATTGGATTTTAAAATTTTTTCACTTCTTCGATTTTGTGTTTCGATGTTTCACTTTTTGATTTCTCAGTTTTTGGATTTTAAATTTTTTTTTTCAATTTTTGATTTACATTGTTTTTTTGTTTTCATTTGAAATATGTAGTTTTTCAATTTTACTATTTTAGGATTTTTTCACTTACTTGATTTTCCGATTTTTGATTTTTTCAATTTTAATAATAATTTTTAAAATTTTACAATTTTTAAATTTCACGTTCCCAGAAACTCTCCGTTTTTCAATTATTGGATTCATTTATTCGATTTCCCATTTTCAATTGTGCATTCTTAAATTTTTTAGTTTTTTCATTTTTTCACTTTTAGATTTTTCAGTTTTTGGATTTTTGAATTTTTCGTTTCTTCGATTTTTGATTTGCAATTTTTTCTAATTTTCATTTTAAATATTAAAGTTTTTCAATTTTACTATTTTAGGATTTTCGAATAAAAAAAATCGAATTATTGAAAATTATAGAAATCGGAAAATCGGATAATTGAAAAATCGAAAAATTTAAAAATTGGAAAATCGAGAACCTGCAAAATTATAAAATCGAAAGAAACAAAGTGAATAAATAAAAAAAATTGAGGAACTGAAAAATCAAAGATTGAAAAATTAAATAAATGAAAAATTGTGATACAAAATCGAGAAAATAAAAATGAAAAAAAAAAAATCATAAAAATAAAAAATCGAAATATTGCAAAACTGAAAAAACTTAAATTGCAAAATGTCGTCTAGGGTGAAAACTCACCACGGATTCATAGACCACAAATACAGAACTACCTCATTTTATTAAAATAAAAACAAATCAGCCAATTGTCGGTTGGTTTTTACCATCTACCCAGAAAAACACCCACCTTGGGCACGTAGCAATAGAGCATCTTGTGCTTATGGTCCACCAGTACGTGGTCGAGCTGGTCGTAGTCGATCCTGCGCGCGCCCCCGCCGTACCTGGTGCACCCTCTCGTCAGCTGCTCCTGCCTCGTCACCTGCTCCAGCCACGGGTACCGGCCCTGCACCACCAGCACCAACAACTGCCCGAAAATGAGTCTGTCGAACCCCACCATGCCCGCACTAACATGTCTCGGCTTTGCGCCGCAACTTCTTCCCGAAACGGATCTCCGACCTGTTCACCACCCCGTAGTTGCTCACCAGCTCGCCGTCCTTGCTCATCGGCTTGCCCCAGTGGAGCAGGTCGTACGTGCGCCAGACGTAGCCCCAGGAGATCTTGGTCTTGCTGCGGAGGCGCTGCTGGCGGAGGGTGAAGTTGCGCTGGATGGCGCGCTTGAGGTCGCGGACGGTCGTGCCCAGCTGGGGGATCTGGAATTCAGAAGGGTGTGATTTTCGGTATCGAAAAATTAAATTAAGTAAATGTTTTTGAAAATTTATTTAAAAAAAAATCGCATTCGGAGGGATGAGTGGGTCAACTCTTTGGTGAGAATTTTGATCAAAAATAAAGTTCACTGATTCATTCATTTTTTTTAATGACTTATATAAAATCTCAAAGTTCATTTTTTCAGACTAATTTAGGTTTTCAATAATTGAAAATTAACAGAAATTGAAAAATTCCCAAAATTGCGAAATCAAAACATCAAAAAGTCGTTAAATAAAAAACAGAGAAATCGAGAAACTGAAAAATCGACCTCAACTCTCCAAAAATTGGAAAATTGAAAAACCGAAAAATTGGAAAATCGAAAAAGCGAGGAACTGAAATAGCCCAAAATCGAAAAATTAATAACTGAAAAATTGAAAAACCCAAAAATTTAAAAATCAAGAAAATAATCAAAAAATGTAAAATTTTGGAAATCGAAAAATGGAAAAACCGAAAAATTGAAAAATAAAAAAAAAGAAACGGAGACATTCAAAAATCGAAGAATTAACTGAAAAATTTAAAATTCAAAAATTCCATAAATCGAAATATTGAAAAATCTATAGTTTAAAAAAACCGAAAAACCAACAATGGTAAAATTCCCAAAATTGAGAAATCTAAAAACCGGAAAATTGAAAAATCCAAAAATCGAGAAATTGAACAATCGAAAAATGAAAAATTTAAAATTGAAAAATCGAAAAAATCAATTTTAAAAACCAAAAAAACTTTTTTAATAAAAAATGTAAAACCGAAAAGTTGAAGGATGGAAAAATCGAATAATTAAAAAAATGAAACATCGGAATGTCGATAAATCAAAAAATGTTTAAAATTTAAAAAAATCGAAAAATTTTAAAACCCAGAATTGAGAAATCGAGAAGTTGAAAAATTCTAAAAATCGAAAAACACGAGGCTTGGGGGAGGGATATTAAAAAAATTTTAAAATCGGGAAACCTAAACATCAAAAAATCGAAAAATCGTCATGTGAAATTTAAAACATCGAAAAATTGAAAAATCGAAAATATAAAATTTACGAAATCGAAAACTCGAAAAACTGAACAATCAAAAAAAAAACCGAATTAAATTCTCGAAAAATTGGAAAATTGAATAACAGACACATGGAAAAATTGGAAAACCAAAAATAGAGAAATCCAGGAATTGAAATACATAATCCAAAATCAAAAAGTTTCAAATTAAAAAAATGGAAAAATTTAAATATCAAAAGAATTGAAAAATGTAAAAAATAAGAAACGGAGAAATTCAAAAACCGTAACATCTAGATATTGAAACAGTCCAAAATCGAAGAATTAACTGAAAAATTTTAAATTCAAAAATTCCATAAATCGAAATATTGAAAAATCTATAGTTTAAAAAAACCGAAAAATCAACAAATTGTAAAATTCCCAAAATTGAGAAATCGAAATATGGCAAAATTGAAAAATCCAAAAATCGAGAAATTGAACAATCGGAAAACCAAAATCACGCTCAATCGAGAAATCGAAAAATGAAAAGTGAAAAATTTAAAATTGAAAAATCGAAAAAATCAATTTTAAAAACCAAAAACACTTTTTTTTAATTAAAAATGTAAAACCGAAAAGTTGAACGATGGAAAAATCGAATAATTGAAAAAATGAAACATCGGAATGCCGATAAATCAAAAAATTTAAAAAATCGGAAAATTTAAAAACCAAAAAATGAAAAATTTTAACAATCGAAATCCGAAAAATCGAGCAATTGAAAAAACATTAAAAAATCGAAAAATTTTAAAATCCAGAAATTGAAAAATTCCCACAATTGAGAAATCGAGAAGTTGAAAAATTCTAAAAATCGAAAAACACGAGACTTGGGGGAGGGATATTAAAAGAATTTTAAATTCGGGAATCCTAAACATCAAAAAATCGAAAAATCGTCATGTGAAATTTAAAACATCGAAAAATTGAAAATTCGAAAATATAAAATTTAAGAAATCGAAAACTCGAAAAACTGAACAATCAAAAAAAAAACCGAATTAAATTCTCGAAAAATTGGAAAATTGAATAACCGACACATGGAAAAATTGGAAAACCAAAAAACCGAGAAATCCAGGAATTGAAATACATAATCCAAAATCAAAAAGTTTCAAACTAAAAAAATGGAAAAATTTAAATATCAGAAGAATTGAAAAATGTAAAAAAAAAGAAACGGAGAAATTCAAAAACCGTAACATCTAGATATTGAAACAGTCCAAAATCGAAGAATTAACTGAAAAATTTAAAATTCAAAAATTCCATAAATCGAAATATTGAAAAATCTATAGTTTAAAAAAACCGAAAAATCAACAAATTGTAAAATTCCCAAATTTGAGAAATCGAAATATGGGAAAATTGAAAAATCCAAAAGTCGAGAAATTGAACAATCGGAAAACCAAAATCACGCTCAATCGAGAAATCGAAAAATGAAAAGAGAAAAATTTAAAATTGAAAAATCGAAAAAAACAATTTTAAAAAGCAAAAAAACTTTTTTTTTAATTAAAAATGTAAAACCGAAAAGTTGGACGATGGAAAAATCGAATAATTGAAAAAATGAAACATCGGAATGTCGATAAATCAAAAAATTTAAAAAATCGGAAAATTTAAAAACCAAAAAATGAAAAATTTTAACAATCGAAATCCGAAAAATCGAGCAATTGAAAAAACATTAAAAAATCGAAAAATTTTAAAATCCAGAAATTGAAAAATTCCCACAATTGAGAAATCGAGAAGTTGAAAAATTCTAAAAATCGAAAAACATGAGACTTGGGGGAGGGATATTAAAAGAATTTTAAATTCGGGAATCCTAAACATCAAAAAATCGAAAAAATCGTCATGTGAAATTTAAAACATCGAAAAATTGAAAAACAGAACAATAAAAAAAAAACCGAATTAAATTCTCAAAAAATTGGAAAATTGAAAAACCGACACATGGAAAAATTGGAAAACCAAAAAACCGAGAAATCCAGGAATTGAAATACATAATCCAAAATCAAAAAGTTTCAAACTAAAAAAATTTAAATATCAAAAGAATTGAAAAATGTAAAAAAAAAGAAAAGGAGAAATTCAAAACCGTAACATCTATAGATATTGAAACTGTCCAAAATCGAAGAATTAACTGAAAAATTTTAAATTCAAAAATTCCATAAATCGAGATATTGAAAAATCCATAGTTTAAAAAAACCGAAAAATCAACGAATTGTAAAATTCCCAAAACTGAGAAATCGAAATATGGGAAAATTGAAAAATCCAAAAATCGAGAAATTGAACAATCGGAAAACCAAAATCACGCTCAATCGAGAAATCGAAAAAATGAAAAATTTAAAATTGAAAAATCGAAAAAATCATAATTTAAAAACCAAAAAAAATGAAAAATGTAAAGTCGACAAGTTGAAAGATTGAGAAAGTAAAAAATTGAAACATCTGAAATTAAAATAATTTAAAAATCTTTGAGAATTCTGGAATCTTTAAAGTCTCGGAATACCTCTGGAACTTTTGGGATCTTTATAATTTTCAGAATCCTTGGAAGTTTTAGAATCCGCAGAATTTTCAGAATTTTTAGAATTTCCAGAACCTTTAGAATCTTCCGAACCTTTCGAATCTCTGGAATTTCTAGCACCTTTGATATCTTTATAACCGTTGGAATTTTAAAGTATTTAGATTATTGGATCTTCAGCCTCCAAATTACTCAGAATCTTCAGAACCTTTAGAATATTCTGAATCTTTGGAGTCTTCAGAATCTTTAGAATTTCGGAAATTTCTAGAATCTCGGAAGATCCGGAATTATTGGAATTTCTAGAGTCCCGGAACATCCGGAATTTTTAAAATTCCTGAAATCTTTAGAATCTTTATATTCTTCAAAATCTTCAAAAATCTTAAGATTTTTTAGACTCTTCACTCTTCGAAATACTCATACTCTTCAGAATTTTTCGAATCTTTACAATCTTTGCAATCTACGGAATCTTCAGCCTTCAGATTTTGGAATTTCCAACCAAAAAAAAAACCTTCGAAATGCTCACAATATTTTGAAATTTCTGGAATTTTTAAATCTTTGGAATCTTTATAATCCAAAGTCTTAAGATTTTTTGGACTTTTCATGTTTTAGAATCTCTGGAAATTTTGGATTATTTGAAATTTTTAGAAGTTTTCAGTTTGCAGATTTTCTGGAATCTTCACTCTTGGAAAAATTCAGGGTCTTCAGAATCCTCAAAATCTTCAGAATATCTTTGGAATCTCCGTCGAAAATCTCGAAATTTCTGGAATCTCTGGAAGGTTTGGAATCTTTGAAATCTTCAATTTTCAAATTTTTTGGAATCTTTAGAACATTTAGAATTTTTAGAATCCCTGGAATCTCGGAATATCCAGAATCTTTGAGATTTCTACTATCTCTAAAATCTCGGAATAACTCTGGAACTTTTGGAATCTTTATAGTCTTCAGAATCTTTGAAATTTTTAGAACCTGAGGAATTTTCAGAATTTTTATAATCTCCAGAACCTTCAGAATCTTTCGGAATCTTCAGAGTATTCAAAATCTTTGGAATCCTCAGAATCTCCAGAATCTTAAGAATCTCGGGAATTTCTAGGGTCTCCAAGGATCCGGAATTATTGGAATTTTTGGAATCTCCAGAGTCCCGGAACAGCCGGAATTTTTTAATTTTCTGGAATCTCTGGACCTTTGCCAAATCAAAATGTCGAAACATCGGAATGTCGATAAATCAAAACATTTTCAAAATAGGAAAATCTAAAAACCGAAATCCGAAAAAGTCGAAAAATCAAGCAATTGAAGAAACATCAAAAAGTCGAAAAATCTAAAATTTATATAATCGAAAAACTAAAATATGGAAAAATATTAAAATCCAGAAATTGAAAAATTCCCAGAATTGAGAAATCGAAAGCTTGAAAAATTTTAAAAATCGAAAAACACGAGACGAAAAATTGGGATATTA